TGCTGGGACTGCTTCTCTACCAACGGCAGCCATTCATCACGGATTATCACTGGCACGTGGTCCTTCTTCTTGATTGGGTATGCCCATGTCACTCGGCTCCAGTCATCCACTATGGTGAGAAAAAACTTCTCACCACGCTCCCCCAGCACCGGTAGCGGCCCCACCACATCCATATGCACTAGCTCCAGCAGTTTCTTGCCTCCACCATCAGTTGCATGGAATGGGAACCGAGTGAACTTGCTCAAAAGGCAAGTTTCACACTTGTCGGTAGCTGCTGCACCTGTCAGCTTTAGCCCCTTGACCCCTTCATCCTTGTGCACTTGCTGCAGTGCGGGCATAGCAATGTGCCCGAGGCGACGGTGGGCTGTCGCCGAGAGTCACTGGAGCCGAACCCGACATACGCAGCCATTGCCCAGAGCGAACCGTCCGGGAAAGACACCTGGTTCTTGGACAGCTGTTGCGGACAGCACATGTGCTCCTCGGGTCGTTTCGTCCAACGGGAACACCAACTTCAACGCGAAGTAGTCATCACCGTCGCCAACAATCAGAACCTGCGCACACGACGGCAAGGAATCGTTCAACTTCAGTCAAGAAAAACAAACGTCGTACTACAAATGTCAAAGGTTTTAATCGCGGAGGGACTCGGCTACAACTTACTCAGCGTCACCCAGTTGATGGCGAAGGGTATCCACCTCGAAGCAGACAGCACCACACAGGAGTTTAAGCTGTACCACGGGAAAGGAGGTCTCTACATCGGCAAGGCAGTGCTGAAGAATATTGTCTTCGTTCTCGACTTCGTTCCAGATCAAGGCACCGCCGACAGCGACGGGATCGTCACCTTCGCTCCCTGGACACATCTGCCGGATCTCGACCCCGACTTCAGCCCCAGCGGCTTCTGGTACTCGAACACCGTACCCGAGGCAGAACAAACACGAGCATTAGCAACAATCCAACAAGCAGAGACAACATCGGCAGCAGCAGAGACAACATCAGCAGCAGCAGAGACAGCATCGGCAGCAGCAGAGACAGCATCGGCAGTAGCAGAGACAACATCGGCAGCAGCAGAGACAACACCGATCACGACCTCAATCACAGGTCCTTCAACGGCACCAGGCCCAATCGACGACGATACTCCACCGACTCCTGCGCAGCAGTAGACTCCCACTCCACGAGAAGTCTACAGAAGCGCCAACTTCACCGCCGGTTTTTACTCCAACTCCGACCTGTACCGACGTTCACTTGGACATCGCGCCACTGAATCAACCTGGCACGCAAGAAAGGGACACCCGAGCAACACGATGTTAAATAACACGATAAGAGCAGGAGTACTTGACAAAGACTCCCTACTTCTAACCGGCGGCAGAGAACTTCAGCGAGTCCGCAGAACATGTTTCACCTGCCGTGAAGCCGACTTACCGCATCAGCCGTTCGTCTCACATCATAACCTGAGCACACCAGCATACGCACCTCTGGAGAAAGTGTACAGCAATATACTGTACAGCCGCGAACCTGGACAAGGAGCATACAACTACGTCATCACGTTCATCGATGCCGCCACACGATACGTCTGGCACTGCAACCTCCCAAGCCGGGACATGGCCCTCCACGCTTTCGCCGCTTGGCTTCCAGCAGCAGAACGAGAATCAGGAGTGAAGCTGAATAGCTTCCAGTCAGACGGAGGAGGGGAATATCAGTCACAAAGGTTCAAGGACTACCTGGCAGAAAAAGTCATCAACCACTCATCTCTCTTCCCAACGCTCATCAGCAACAAGGCGTGGCAGAAAGAATGAACAGGACCCTCCAGAACACCATGGGCAAGCTGCTACGTGGCATGCGGCTACCCAACCACCAGTGGCCCGAAGCAATGGACCACGCTGTAATGCTGCACAACTTGCTTTCGTCATCATCGCTCCCGAACAACGCATCACCGCATCTGCTATGGACAGGAAAATTGGGCAGCACAAAAATGTTGCGAGTGTTCGGATATATGGTACAGTACCGACCTCCAGCGGCACGAGCCGGCCGATTCTCCCAACGCGCACAGTGGGGGCTACACCTGGGCATCAAGAAACATTACGACGCATGGAAGATTTTCGACATCAACACAAAGGAAACAGTGGCAGCACGTGATGTCATCTTCTACGAGCGACTCACACTTCCAACATACCTTGCCAACCTGGAAGAAGGGAATCCGGACCTTTCGGATGGATTTCTTGGCGACCAAGCCTTCGCTTTGGCAGCAGATGAAGCTGACTGGGATGAGAGAACGTGGACAAAGCCTCGGAGGAAGCCGGACCTCTTCCCTACTGTTTAGTCGACGTACCAATGGACGACAAAAACCCTCGCGAAAGCATCAACGCCAAAGTCTACTACCACTTCGCCAACAACTGTTACGTTACACCTGCAAGAGTCGACACCGACAAAGCGAAACGTGTAGGACCGAATTTCATACCTGATCCAGAAGCGGGAGACGAAGCAGTCTACCCTGAGGACACAACCCTCGCTACACACAGAGCTGACTGCAGATACTTGGCCTCGTCACCGCAGTCCACGGTTCAGCGCCGCCTAAGGAGCGTGCCACAGTTCAGAAGGCCCTGGGTGGGGAGCACAGGGAAAAATGGCGCGAAGCCATGGACAGGGAGTTAAAGCATTGGAAGAACGCAACACCTGGAAGGTCGTACCTATCGGAGTGGCACGGAACAAGACCATCCTCACTGGAAAATGGGTCTTCCGTGGGAAAACAAAAGCAGACGGAACCATCGACAAGTTCAAAGCCCGCTGGGTCGTGCGCGGCTTCGACCAAGAGCAAGGGCGAGACTTCACCGAAACGTTCGCGCCGGTTAGCCGGCACACCTCACTGCGAATTCTCCTCGCGATAGCTGCCATGAAGCGGAAGTAGCTTCGCCAAATCGACGTCGCCAACGCCTTTCTCTACGCGCCTGTCGACGCTGAAATCTTCGTCGAGCAAAAGCATGGCTCCAATGCAGACCCTAATCAAGTCTGTTTGCTACTAAAGTCCCTATGTGGCATCAAACAGGCCCCGAGACTGTGGCAACAGTACCTACACGCCCGGCTAATCCGCATCAGATTCAAGCAACTGCCACACGATCAGGGCATGTACCGACTCATGAAAGGCACCGACTACATCCTTCTTGTCATCTACGTAGACGATCTGCTTTACATCGGCTCGACCGACGGCATCACGATCTGGTTCGAAGGGGAGCTGCAGCAGGACCTCATGCTTACAGTCTCATCTACCATAACGCAATACCTCGGGCTCAACATACAAGAAGAGGAGAACGGGATCCACCACAGTGCCGCAAAATACGCCAACACTATCGCCAAGCGCTTTGAACTAACTCCAGCCGCCATCTCCACACCATACCGCTACACCGCAGGGAGTCATATGGAAACCTCCACTCCGCTCAAGCCCGCTGGCATACGTGACTACCAGCGAAAGCTGGGATGTCTCCTCTTCGCAGCCGTCACCTGCCGACCGGATCTATTGTACTCAGCAAGCCAACGCGCCACCTACCCCAAGAAACCTGAAGCAGAGCACATGGCAGAGCTCGACCGCGCAATTCACTACCTCGTCAGCATTCCAACAATCGGCCTAACCTACCACAAGACCGGAACCACGACGCCCAAACTAATCGGCTATGTCTATGCTGATCACGCCAGCGACTCTGACAACAGGCGCTCGCGTACCGGCTACATCTACCGACTCGAGCCTATCGGACCTATCTCGTGGCAGTCGAGCAAGCAGGAACTAATCGCTCTCTCCTCAGCTGAAGCGGAATATATTGCACTCTGCTCAGCCACCAAGGAAGGCTTGTATCTTCACGAACTGCTAGAAGAAGCGAAGTTGGCCCAGTTACCCAACTTCTCTCTGTTCTGCGACAACCAATCTGCAATCCGCATAGCGAACAAGAATGGGTTCGTGAACCGGACGAAGCATATCACCTTGCGATACTTCTTCGTGAAAGACGAGATCGAGAAGGGGAGACTCGAGCTATCCTACTGCCCCACATCCGAGATGGCAGCTGATTACTTGACCAAGAAGCTCGGAAAGCAGAAGTTTGAGTACTGCATGCTGCTGACTGGACAAAGCCACGTCACCAGCAGCGACACTCCAGAAGCGAAGGGGAGCGTTGGAAATAATTAATTAAACGCTTCTTATGTGTTGCAAACACTGAAATACAAATGAGGCAAACTACAGAGGAACAACCGCGAGTCAACCATCGGAGGTTGACAAGAGAAGTAACTGCTGGAGGTTACGCGAAGGTCAAAGGTCAGCGACCTTTGACTTGACAAATACAGCACGACACCAAGGACAAACAACTGACTCGATACTGAGCAGTTGCCCGAGTCGTCACTGTATCAAACCGCAACAGCGACAGTAAAACAGTTATCAGTTGCACCCTTTCATATTCCTTGTAATCTAATAAAAGCTTGTATTACTTTTCTATAATCAATCTATATTGCCCTCACATACTAGCGCAAGGTGGTTCAACACATTTTCATTAAACGCTTCCGCAACTACAAAACTTCTACTCAGAGTTTAGCCTTGAAAAGATCCTAAGGGCTTTTCTCAGCCCAACATAGGGGCCTAAGCGTGAGCGCAGCAGGGGAGTGTTAACGGGAGTAGATTGTTATGTCAACATTGTGAACTCTCAACTTTTGCTAGTGGAAACTGTTGGCTTTTTTTTTTTTTTTTCCATTAATCTACATGTGCTAAGGAACACATGCAAAGCTACGATCACTCCTACAACTTATATGCCCCCCCCCCCCCCCCCCCCCCCACCCCCACCCAAGCCCCCATGTGTAGTCTAGCTCCCGACCGTTGTAGAGTGAATCTCCGGAGCCACACATAACGTCTCTCGCCCTTCCCCTTGAAATCCCACCAACCTCTCTGGTAATATCATTTCAGGTTTTATGATTGCAGAATTTTGCTCGGTTCGTTTCCGTGGGAGTGGGAGGGTGTCCTTTCCGAGCACCAAATGGACATTGCAAGTGTATTGCTGCACCTCAATGCACCATGCATTGGTGCAGCTGATCTGGTGCTTGCATTACTGCTCCCCGTTCCCCAGTATCTCGATTACCCTGAGTATCCCCGTTCTCCCATCATCCCCATTACCGTCACCTTCCCGTTCCCCCCATCTCCCCGTTCCCCCCATCGCCCCGTTCCCCCCATCTCCCCGTTCCCCCCATCGCCCCGTTCCCCCCATCTCCCCGTTCCCCCCATCGCCCCGTTCCCCCCATCTCCCCGTTCCCCCCATCGCCCCGTTCCCCCCATCTCCCCGTTCCCCCCATCGCCCCGTTCCCCCCATCTCCCCGTTCCCCTCATCGCCCGTTCCCCCCATCATCTCCATGACCTGTTTCTCCCCATCCCCATCCCCATGCACCTGGGCAGTGTGCGTGAAGTGCATGCGCTGCTGCAGCTGCAGGAGGCGTGGGTGGGCACGTGGGCGGGCAACAGCAACGCCACCACGGCGTGCTCTGCGTGGGCTGGCGTCACCTGCAGCCCCAACGGGGCCGTCCTTGCCCTGTGAGTCGCAACGGGGCCGTCCTTGCTCTGTGAGTCACAACGGGGCCGTCCTTGCCCTGTAAGTAGCGCGCGTGCGCGGGCCCACGGGCAGGGTGTTGCTGCCGTGTGCGTCACAGGAATGAACACAAGGGGTGCACTGGACTGGTTCTTACACAGCACTCAGAACCTTGTTCGTTGAGCCTGCACGTGCACATGTACTCAAGGCGTGAGTATTGAACTCGGAATTGAAACGTCCAGTGCCTGGGGTGTGGAAACGACGGGGAACCATCATGGGGTGGACAACCGAAAGGCAGAATGCTGTGCTGTCCCTTTCTTCGATCCCTCTGTTGCTGGTCATTGTGAATGCATGGCTGCACATGGATATGTGAGTGTGCGTGCGTGCACGCATGAGAGTGTATATGTCCGACCGCCTGCACATGTGCATATGTGTGGCGCACGTGTGTGTGTGCACGTATGCCCTGGCAGGGACTCCAACGCCTTTGCCATGGATCCTCCTCCCACTGGCACCATTCCTGCTGCCATCACTGACCTCACCACCCTTCGATACCTGTGCGTCCACTCTACCCTCTCGCTCTCCCATTTCCTCTCATCCCTCCTGCACCATGTTTTCCATTTCCCCTTTGCCCCTCCCTTGTGCGCCTGTTTATCCTCATTCCCCTCTTCATACAACCTTTCTCATGTCTCAGTCTTTGCCTCATCATGTCATTTTCCACCCTCCTACTCTCCCTCATTCTACCTACTTGTTTCCAGCACCCCCCTTACCCCCACGAACTCAACCAAACCATTGCCACCTTTCCTCCTACCCCCCTCCTTCCCTCCTCCTAGTCCCTCCCTGTTTGTCTCCCTCAAGCGATCTGACGTACGGCATCAACCTCGAGGGCCCCATGCCATCCCTCTCACCTCTCACCCACCTCACTCACCTGTACGTCTCACACCCTCCTCTCTCATCACAAGAAACACGCCTCCCATCCCCACACAGCCCCTCACCACCACCCCTCACCACCCCTTATTGCCCCTCACCTCACCGCCCCCCCGCTCACTCGCATGGACTACATGTGATCACGGAACCGTCATGTTCTTCTGACCTGTCCTTTTTTTCCTTCGAGGACTTCGTTCCAAGCCCCCGCTTTTCACTCAATCAATCAAGATTGTCGTTGCCCTTTGCAGCACATGCCCCATCCCACAGTATGGGCCGCATTGCCCCCTGCGCATGCCCAATCCCCCTGCACATGCCATATCCCCCTGCACATACCCAATCCCCCTGCACATGCCTTATCCCCCTGCACATGCCCAATCCCCCTACACATGCCCCCTCCCTATTCGTGCCCCTCCCCCCTGCACATGCCCCACCCACCCGCCTGCCTGTGTGCATCGCTCCCTGTAGAGCCCTGGGAGCAGACAGCTGCTTGCTCACCGGCACTGTGGACGAACTCTCGTGGCTCTCCTCCCTCTCCGCCCTGCAGTTATTGTAAGCCCTGCCCTTTCAGTCTCCCTCTCAACGCCTGCCCTGCCCAGTGGGCGGAGAATGGGCATGGGGCCTGTCCTGTCTCGAGGAGTATGTGGAGGACAGGTGCTCACAAAGGCTTCTCAATGCCACAACTAGTTCATCCTTGGTTCTAATCAGAACCTTCTGTTCACCTCTTTTTGCTCGAGCCTCAAGAACTGCTGCCTCGTAACAATTTTCCAGCATGGTTTCTCCAAGGCCCGGATTCAGTTTTCTAGTGGCATCAGCAGCACCACCATGAACGGACTTCTGAAGCGATGCCATCCACCTGCGTAGGCATGAGCACGGGCCAACCAGCCTCGAGGGTGGTTGTTCGGGCCGGAGTTTCTGGGAAGTCTGCCACACAAGCTGCCCCGGCCGGCTGGTTCTGGCCCGAGCAGCCACCCGTAGCAACCACACAGTCGGTCGTCACCAGACCAGGCCAATTTTTAGGCCCCATCAGGCCGAGTGACCGAGTCTCGCGCGGCAAGCACTTGAGTCAACCTGACGGGGGTGAAACTTATCGAATCTGTCTTGCTTCAGGAGCCCGCACACCTGCCATTGGGCCTTGGATGAGCGCGCCCCTCACCTAGCAGCCCGCACGCCCCTCGCTGACTGTGCGTGCCTCGGGCCATTTCTGGTCCACCCTGGTGGTAGGGCAGAGGTTTGGCAATCGTCCGGGCCTCAGGTCAGCCCGCCGACAAGGCCGGCCGGCCCTGGCCCGGCGTGTTCATGACTAACCCACCGTGCCCACTAGGATGGGACATTTGGACTCTTAGCCCTGGTCGTGATTGCGACCTGGCTGATAGAGCAGTGCTGGGGACTCCAAAGTGCCGCCAATTCACGCCAGCTATATTGCCCTGAATTGGTTAGCGATTATCGAGGCGACTGTTTGGCTGAAACGCTTGGCTGAAAAAATTTATGTAAACTCAGTCGCGTTGTCGAGTATTTGAGTCGTGCCTTGTTGTACTCGAAGCAAAGGCGAATAAAAAAAGTGCTCACCTTGGCTAAAACAATCTTGCCTGAACAGGAAAATAGCGAGGCAATTTCTTCTTACAGCACGCCTTGCAGCAAAGGCTCAACAACTATCCAGGAGTACCGCAGCAGGTACCTTCCATCTTACAATCCTGCCCATTTACGCCTTACAGTGCTCCATGCTCTGTTGTTTCTAGTTCTCTCACCATCCACCACCTCCTCCTGTGTGTCACGTCCCACTGCCTCACCTCAGCACCACCAGGCGGCTATCTGGGTTGTCGGAACTCACAGGGGAGCTGACCTCCTTTGCACTGCTCTCCCATCTCCAACATCTGTGAGTCTACTTCAGAGTAACCACCCAGAGGTGACTCTTGTTTCGAGGAGCCTAAAAAATGGTTTGCTCCGAGAGCACCCAAAAGTGGCTCCCTTGACACTCAAAGTGCTATCACATCACAAATGTTCTCTTTCCAAAGGTTCCTTTTTATTTATCCCTCGCTATCGGACCCGGCTATCAGGTGACAAGTGCACCTACTGACTTTGCCATGTGCTGTTTGCATGCATACGCACGGTTTGCAAATCGCTCATTGGTCTCAGCAATGTGACAGTAGAGATACCCCGGGAGATTTGATACTTGACTGCCCTCACTACACTGTAAGCTGAACACAACACAATAATCTTCTGACTTTTGCATGTGCGATTGGCTTTGCACCGAGATAGGTGTTCTGCTGCAAATTCTTGCTCCTCTTAGGCCGGCCAATCCAGCTCATGCGCACACACCACCAGCACACCAAGCTCCCTCTTCCCTTCTCATCCTCCCCCTCCGCCCTTCCTGCAAGGACCTCATATTTCTTCGGGCTGTGGACTTCCCAGACTGGGTCACTCAGATGTCCAAACTCCAGTCACTATGAGAGTGTTCCTAGCTTTCTCATGTGTGCCTGTCCTACCGCTCTGTTATTACCCCATTCTCCCCGTCTCCCATTCCTGTACATTGAGGAGCTAACTTTAGCAACAAGAGCTAGACTACGGGCTAGGCACGGGTGCTCGTGTGATCTCTGTGTTCCTTGGTCGTTTTCCTAGTGCACACACTGCTTGCTGGTTCACGGGGCAATTTGTCAAGAGTTTCACTAAGAAAGTTGACAACAATGATTCAGAATGATAGGAACAACATTGGCATGCAAGACTACATCGGGACCTAGCAAGGCTGCTGGTCGACTTCCAGCGCAGCACGGTCGACCGCGTGCCAGCACGACTTGGTCGACCGCGCTCCAGCAGAGCAAAGTCGCGGCTTGCCAACGTTGCAGGTTTACGGTGTGCCAATGCTGCAGCAAGTCAGCTGCACAGCGTTGCACCTGCTTAGCAGGTGCGCGCAGCTGGTTGGTGCACAACTCCTTATCACGTGCACAGCTCAGACGCCCAGCTCGACTCTACGCCAGCGACTGCGCCCTACCAACCACGTCGACCTCGGGATACTACTTCCGAGGCCGGCCTGGTCATATCATTTGGGCGACTGTCGCGTGCCTCCGCAGAACCTCGTCACCCAGGTAACCTGGTCGACCGGGCAACCATGTCGACCAGCTGCTTCTTTACGTGCCCGTCGACCACCCAATTCAACAACCACCTCCGGTCAACCTCGCCAGGTCGACCTCACCCTTGGTCGACCAGCTCCAAGTCGACGACAACCCTCCAGGTCGACCAACTCCAGACCGACCAGCACAACAGTTAGCCGACCACACCAAGTCGGCTGCCCCAAGTCGGCGTCACCAAGTCGACGCCTTCCATCGGTCGACATCCCGAGTCGACCACCTGAAGGTCAGCGCCCAGAAGTTGGTGCCAGTCGCAGTGGCCCCCGTGCAGGTCAACCTCCTCGTCGACCAGCTCGCCCACTACTGCAGATTTGCTGCACTCCCCCGTACACCCGACCACAAGGTCGCTCCGCCCAAGCGAGGACGGGGCCTCACAACGACTCCCGTTGACATACATTACCCCACAACAAGTGACCTTCTAACCACCCACTCAAGCACTCAAACCGCGCCACAGCATGACGTACACAGTGTGCTAAACAGCCCTTTCTTCCACTGCGTGACGTGCACTGTGTGCTAAACAGCCCTTCTGCCACAGCCCTTTCTGCCACAGCGTAACGTGCACTGTGTGCTAAACAGGCCTTTCTGCCACAGCGTGACGTGCACTGTATGCTAAACAGGCCTTTCTCCCACAGCGTGACTTACACTGTGTGCTAAACAGCCCTTCCTGCTCTGCGCTTGTGAGGAGGCGTGTGAGAACAACGAGCAAAGAAGTGGACTTGCACGACGACTCAAAACTACGCCGCACCTCCTCTACACGCACCTTGTGCAGAATCGCCCCTTCTATTCCCTTCTGCCTGCCCATGCCTGTGAGCAGGCGAGTGATCAACGACGAGCCAAGGAGGCAGGGACTGCTGCCAGAAGGACTTTCAGAGTTGACAGCACTCAGTGAACTGTGAGTGCGCATAGCATAGTGCAGCACAGCACAGAACAGCCTCACGTACCTCGTTGCACAGCCTCACGTACCTCGTTGCACAGCCTCACGTCCCTTGTTGCACATCCTCACGTACCCCATTGCACAGCCTAATGCCACATTGGTGTACATGCATACATCCTTTACCTTACCCCCCCCCCCTGTCATGCACTGCACACTGCAGGTCCCTCTCGGGGAACAACCTGGAAGGCGCCCTGCCCAAAGGCTTCTCCACACTTGCCAATTTGGCTGTTCTGTAAGCGAGGCACTTCCTGACCAGCCTGCCCTGTGTGGGACACTTGACCATCAGGCTGACGTGTGAGACAGAAAAGTGCCGACTAGAGTTGATACTCTCTCTTCTACGAGTGCACTTGCAATCCGTCAATTCCGGCCCGTGTTTCCGTGTCTTGCAAGTCAATCTTCTCCCCTTCATGTCACTTCTCTTGCAGGGATCTGAGCTTGAACCATGTGCATGCAAGGCACCATCCCCGAAGCATACTCCGCGTCACATGAAATACAAACAAGCGGTTGGTATTGCATTGACGAGAAGAGCAGAGGTCGTGTAGTCGAAGTACGACAGTGAAGACCCTTACAACGGAGTAGTTTCCATGCGCGGTAAGCCAGCTGGGGTTACAGCAAAGGTGTACAGTGGGAGGGAGTACCGACGCATGCAGTCGTCGCGCGAGTACAGTGATGGCAGCCGTGGGAAAGAGTTTCACATGACTTGCGAGGGTTTGGCAGGCAGGTGGCAACCATGGGAGGGGTGGACGGCGGAGATTACCGAATGTACATAGGTGGGCTGGATGTACGGTGTAGATATTGCGCATGTCGGATGTTTGTTTGCCTGTTGTTTGCGTGTGTGCAGGTTCAGGCCTCATGCTATGCCTCACGCTGAGAATAGCAGCTAGAGAAAGTCCCTTGTTTATATAGACCTTTAGCTGGCTAGTGCTGAGCGCTTGTTTGTTTGTTTTCTCATACTACTGGAGTTGTGAATGCTTTGAATCCTAAGCGTAGCAAGCCAGATCAGAGGAACCAGACGATGGAGTAGGGAGTTTTTCGAATGGCTAGAGGCAACCTGAGCACAAGAGGTCGGAGGGAAGGAAAGGAGGGAGGGTCAAGAGCACGAGGATCAAACCAGAATCATCTCACGAAGAGGGTGAGAGGGTAATGGCACAAGGGAAGAGACAGGGAGAGAGGGGATCTCTAAGAGGGTGGAGAAGGTGGGGCCTATGGCATCCGACATCTGCATTGACCGCCCTCACTGAACTGTACGTGTCCTGTCCTGGTGATGACATGTTTCGCTCTTTTTAGCTCCCTCTTCAACCACCTCATCCCCAACCCCCCACTCCCCCTATCTCCCCTCTGTCTGGCTTCCCCTCCCTTAGCAACCAACTAGTCCTGCCTCCACTTCCCTCTCCTTCCCCACTCCCCTCCTCTTGCTGGAAGAAACCGCCTATTAATAAGACATGGTTGCAGTTTGCTTGTGCCCCTCCCTCGTATTTTCAGAGACCTCTCCTCGAA